TCTCTTAATATTCGACATAAAAATGTTAACTTCACGAGTAAAAACATGTTGAAACATGTCAGTATGTTTAACTTTAATTAATTAATTAACTGTAATTGACAACATAACATAACATTTCATGGGTGAAATTTATTTTTAACTTCCATAAAAATTCTTTATTTATTCTGAAATAAAAATTTATATCGATCTTTAAGACGAGTTACCAAGAAAATAAAAGCTATGCATTAGTCTTGAAAACTTTGAATATATTGAGAATAAGATTTTAACGAGAAATCTTATTAGAAATGTAATTTCATAAGAAACCAATCTCTTTTGAACAAAAAAGTTCTCGTAGTCAAGGTTAAATTATCTTAAGCGGGTATAGAAAACTAAGTCTTGAGAAGTAGGTTGAATTTTTATAGACATTACAAGTTTACACGGCAAATGTTATGCGGTGTAAAAAATAGGGGTTGGTGATAAAAATAATAAAAATTTAGGGCGTTACACTATCAAAAAATAAAAACAAAAATTTCGTTGAAAAAAATTAATTAAGGGTGAACAACCCTTATCATTTAGAGGTATGAATATCGATAGTAGCCAATTCTCAGACCTACTGAATAACTAACATTGTGACATGAAAATTATATATATGAGATAATGTTTATTTTCCAAGATTTTAACCTCTACATATGTACTATGGGTGGTGTTATATGTGTGACGTAGATGACTGTCTGAATTTGGGGTTTTATCTCAAATGGATAGACTGATTTCAGTGCGATTTTATCTTGCAACATCACCTTTTGTTACAAAATGCATTTTCATTTTAATTATCGTTTTACTCTAGTCATGAAAAATCGGAAATTTTTCACAATTCAATGCATCAGTAACTATTTGATTGGCTACGATGTAGAACGAAAGAAAAATTTATTTTATTCATTAAGCTCAATAGCAGAAGCAAACAAAACTATTATCCTATGACCCTTTTATTGCATCCATAAAAAGAGTAAAATAAATGAAACTAAATTAATTTATACGACAAACAATTCTATATGCATATATGTTTGTAATGCTTTCGTGTACAATCTTTGCGCTCGAATGCTAAAGCTTTGCGGTCTACTAAGCACGATCAATTACTGTAATTTTGATGAGGACTGAGGAACTTGAACAAACAACGAACCAAGAGGTAATTAAAAATACACTTGTTAGTAAGAGCACCATTTAATAAGAGAGCCTGCTTAGTAAGGTATTGTCTAAATTGTGTGTGATTCGATTCCAAAGAAAGGATGTTGTAATGCAATGCATGCTATCCTTTTTTTAATTAAATTTAATTATTTATTAAAAATATTTCATGTGTACTGTTGGATAATGTCGTTCCCATGAAAGAGATATAATTTCATTTTTCTATAAACATTTATACGTTATCAGCCTATCAGAGCCCACTCATGAGCAAAAGCCTCTTTCTCACATGGAGAAGGTTTGAGCGTTAATCACCACGCTTGCTTAAGGCGGACTGGCGATGTCAAACTTATAATTGTGAAATTATAAGTCCAGGTTTCCTCACGATGTTTTCCTTCACCGTCTGTCAGTGTTGTCTAAATACTCTTAGAAAGTACATATGACTCTGAAAAATCATATTGGTACTTGCCAGGATCGAACTCGCGCCCTCGTGCACGAGAGGCGGGCCCTTTAACCACTTAGCCACCACTGACTTTTTTAAAAAATGAAAATTTATATTTAAATAGTTTGATTGTTACTTTGTACATATTTTCTAGTACTAATTCTATCATTAGCGATCGTATGAGAGTTTTCTCAACCAAACATCCAATAACAAGACCAACTGACAGACATTAACATTTCATCATCGTTATCACGGTTGATTAAAAGTAACCGAAACGTGGGCAGTACGTAATTTTTTACAAAAATAAATCACGCGCAGTATATCCGAAAAATATTAGTTTAATTTTCGAAGCTAGAGAAAATTTAATAAAACCCACGTTAATTACAATAGTAATGGACTGGACGTGGATTCTAAAAATAGCTTATAGATTACTCTCACGTTTCAAGCTAAAATCAAAGAGCTTATTTAATTTATACATATCAGAGTGCCACGTTGATAGATAATTGTTTTAGTTCCTACGTACATTCGGATGGACTAAGTAAAAGCCGACGTGTGATCTTCCTATCCTCTATTGAATCGAGATTTCTGTTTGAAATCTATAATAGTATTTGATATACCTTTTAACTAACTAATTGATAAATATTCGCTAGTATTGTGTAGGACAGAAATCTTATTCAGGTGGGTTAAGCCTGGATCACATCTGACATGTCCATTAGATATAGTGCGTTAGTTGGAAAATTTATTTTGGGACGTTTCTACGTATATAGTGTTCTATTGAATAATACTAATAATGTTTGTCATTTGATGTAAAGTTAATTGATTTCATGAAACACTGCAGTTTCGTTTAATTTACTGGATTACTTCGTAAGAATAGTTTTAACAAACTAATTTAGTAACAAAATAGTAAAGAAAGGAGGCGTTCATAAACTACGTGAGGTGTTTTTTGAAATGTCTTAGTAAGATGTCGTGTGATTCTATTCAACCCCTTCCCCCATCCCCTAATTTCACGTGAGATTTTTTTAAGATGTAATTGTTTTTCATGGGGTTTGGTGACTTGACAGTCAGTAAACGTATAACGTCTAAGTATAAAAGAAATTATTTTTCTTAGAACGATTAAGGGAATGGTCTGAATCGTATTACGCTTAAGATTAAATCTTAAACATGTACAATCTACATAGATTAAATGGACCAAAATAGTGTTTCTTTGTTTCATTCAGAAAAAAATACGTGAGATTTGATTCGACCCCCTCCCCATAAACATCTCACCTATTATATGAACTAAAGGGATTTGGAAATACAAGAAGATATGGTTCCTTTGAAGTTACTAAGTTACTACTGATATTTCATCAGTAATTTATCAAAAAAAAAATTATAGTACAAAAACTTCGCTTGACATTTTGATATACGACGATTTAACTTACTAGAATATTATATGAAATTGAACATAGTAGCGCCATCTGTGAGTCGATAACGAAACTAAATGAAGTCTAGATTAAGTATTCATCTCAGCCTAGGCTAACTAGCGTCATCTATGTAAAGTGTTCGATTGACGAGACGACGAGGCAAATAATAAGAGTAAATTTTAGCACTTCTAATAATTCTGTTAATGAATGAGAATATTTGTGATATGTACATATATAAATAATTATTGCTCTTAGAAAATAACTCGTAAAATTGTAGCTTTAGGAGAGTAAATACCGTAAATATATTTTTCAAGAATACAATAACATATACATATAAATGAATTATTAACTTGTTAATTGATTTATAAGACGAAATAATATTTATATGAAATATCTATCATACAATTTACGAGCCTATATTCATTTGGTAGTTTATTTTGCGCGAATAATTATTACTAAGCAAGTATAAAAGTATTTCAGCAGCGGTTAGAAAGTAATAGGTATTGTAGTTTAGTAATATTTGATCTCATAGTGGCTATGAATGAGATACTTTGGGAGAAAATAATAATAAGTAGTTTAATTTTTTTTCAGTCTATCAGAGCCCACTGCTGTGCAAAGGGCTCTTTCTCACATGGAGAAGATTTGAGCATTAATCACCACGCTTGCTCAATTGGTTGGCAATATCAAACTTATAGTTTGATATAAGTCTAGGTTTCCTCATGATGATTTCCTTCATCAGTCAGTGTTGTCTAAATACTCTAGTTTAACTATGATAATATAATTTTTATTTCACGGTTTAATGAACATCACCAGTGAAAATATATACTGAGATTAATCCATGATAGTCTTGAAGTTATAAACGTGCCAATTTGAATGGAGAATATAGTAATTTAACGTAAGTATGACATCAAAAGTATGAAATAAACGTGACTACATGATTTCAAGATACAGTAAGGGCAAACATGAAATAAATAACTAAATCGTTGTTCGAAGATTACAAATAAGACTAACAGATACTCCTTACACGTAATAATAGTACAATATACAAACACGTAATTATACATATTTATAGTACTTACAAGTAGCTTATATAACGAAAACTAGGTTAATATGTGATATAAAATAATAAATGAATTTAGTATATAAGAATTAGTTTCATTTTAAATTCGTGACGTCATTGTTATATGATATTCATAGTGTTATTTTTAGAGATTTTTGAAGTGAAACTTCTTATGCGACTTGTAATAAAATTGCGTTAAACGTTTAACGCTGAAGAGGAAGATATATAAATGTAGAAAGTAGGAGAGCAAAAGAGTGAGTAGTAGATTCATAGCATATGCGTGGGTTATTCTTGCTATATAGCAAGTAAAAAGTGTGTATTAATTTATTTATAATATCCGTTATTGTTTTAGTTTGATTTGATAATCATATAATATATTTACATTTCCACATTAAGAAGTTCCACTTCTTCTATGGTATGGTAATTTTATTTTTTATGTAAAATGTTGCACACGTGCAGACGGCCCACTTGATGATCAGTAGTGACCGTCGCCCATGGACATCCACAACATAGATGTTGTACATGGGTTGTCGACCTTACTTGTGGGGGAAAAGGGAGGGGTGGGAATAAGAAAATATAAGGAAAGGTTGGGAACAGGGAAAAGGCAATATAATCATAGTATAGTGCGTTTGATTTAAGCTAAGCTTTACATTTGTATGAGTGCACACGGATAGTGTAAGTGTTATGTCAAATTTATGAATGAAACGTTCTTTTCTAGTTTTAAACCGGTTTGTACTGCTTTTACTCCGCCCATTTTACACTGGTAGCAATATCAAATGTTGAAAACGCAATGTCAAGTGAATAATAATTTGTAGTTTTTTCAAAATTCTTATTAATCAATAATTTTTTGTCTAACTCTACTTTTACTTTCACTCACACAAATGCAAAGCTCAGATTAAGTCTAACGACTATGTTTAATGTATGAGAGGTCAATACTAACTGGTTTTTTCCGTTGCTAGCGGATCTCTGTAGCTTGGGTCTGTTCTCCTTGTCTTTGTCCAAGCTCGCTCGCTGCTCATCCATTCTATCAGACTGACAGCGCGCGACCAGCTCGATAAACTCCGAAGGATCACCTTCATCAGATTCGCCACGGCTTATATTTTCGTCTTTCTTCTTGGAGTCAGGAGTTATCTAAAGATATATATTCAATAAATCCTACTAATATTATTATAAAGTTTGTGAGTGTGTGTGTATGTTTGTTACTTCCCGCTCAAACGGCTGAACTGATTTAAAATTTTGTATATAGGAAACTGACGTCCAGGAATAATATACAGGGTGACTGGTGAATTACTATCGATATTTGAGGATGTGGTAGTTGACGATCATATATGACAAAATAAAAATTAATATAACATAAATATTAATAAACTTCTAAGTAAAGTTAACCAAAAGTTATGTAATTAATTACGCATCGTGTGAACACCCTACAGATTAGGTATACACACACACTCACACATACGCAGCGGGGGCGTGGTTTTGTATCAGCACGCCGCCGTACGCGTTCACACTTGGAACACTTGGAACGTGTCAACACTTTATTTATTTATACGGAAATTTGGTCAAAAATTAAGTACCTATTTTTTTTACATAATTCGAATGAGAATCATGTACCGAGTATGCTCCTTAAATATTGATAGTAATTCACCAGTCACCCTGTATAGGTTACTTTACATCCGGGAAATCGGCGGGTAACAGCGCGGGGCGCAGCTAGTATATAATAAATTATGCAGCAACCGTGAAGTTATTTGTTTCATTATTTTTCAGTAATAAATGTGTATATGTCTATAGAGATTTTTATTAATTAATGTATATGTACATCTGTAGATATAAATAAAAGTCCGCTTGTGATATTAATATAACAACAATTTGACCAATTTATATGAATATATATTATTACAAATCTGTTAGTCGATCTATTTCTCCTAACATTTGAAATTTAAATACAATGTGACAATATTTTAACTGGCAGACAGGTGATGTAATCAATTATTATTAGTTACTTGTGTACTTAAGTAACTTTTATCACTTTTGTTAAAAGAATTTTACTTATTACCTATATTTATATACAACATAGTATTATTAAAAAAATTCTTAAAACATATAATCATTTCACATATTGTATTCATTCATTCAAGTCAACTATCTAGTATTAGAAAAATCTTTATATTACCAAATAATTGTTTTATTTATAATTTTAACAAACCTGTATTAATGATAGCTGTTCCATACTCTGTCTTCTCACCCTGAGGGCATTGAAGGGCGTCCTAGGGGCAGGTGCATCATCAGGCAGGGTTGGGGTTTCTTCTATGGGCAGACCCAGGACTTTGCACAGATCCCCTATATTCATCTGTGCTGTGGCCATACCAAGAACGTCCCCTAACTGGAAATAAAACGTAAACATATTAGAAATTATTTTAATTCAGAACTTCCAATTAGATGTTTAATAATCTACAATTCGTAACAGCATCCCCAATCTAAAACTTGTATCCCATTTATATTCAACGGTAGAAATTATTTTATTAAGAACTTCCACTTAGATTTTTACTGATCTACAATTCCTAACAGAATCCCTAGTTTAACACTTGTATCGTATTTATAATAGCCAAAGGTAATATATTTAGGTGAGGGTAGGTTATAATATTATACAGAGAGCGCTAGTTGACTATCATAAGAATTCCCGGTTAATATCAGAATATAAATAACGTTAAACGTAAAATTATTAAGTGCATGATAATTTAAATTATTATGTATAATTATTACTAATAATATATAGTTATATGAATCATAAAAATATATTCTTTTGGTATAATAAGTAATTGATGTTTATGGAAAGAATATTTTTTAATAACTGATGTGGTAGTAGATATGAATATATGATATAATTGGTTCAGCTGATTCTTTTATAAGTATTGCTAGTTTCTTACGGTGTATGAATATTTGTTGCTCTTTCTTACAAAAACTACTAAACGGATTTTGATGAAGCTTAATAATAAACGCAACTTACATATCAGATTACGGCATAAACTGTAATTTGTATTGGAAATCACGTCAGAACACTTTTATTTTGTATAAACTCAAATGAAAGAAACTAAATTTCGCTACTTTTTGTTTATCAATATGTACTATCTAACAGACTTTATACATTTCTATCAAAGTCCATGTAGAAAGTATTAAGACACGTTGAATATTTTCAACAAACTAACTTGAAAATTAACACAATTCATAAAGTTGTACTTATAAATCAACTAGATGGCGCCAGAAGACATTTGATACTTATTTTGATATAATACATAGTAACAAAAAGTTAGTCGCTGGCAAAATTAGTAAACACATATACAACAAACACAATACTCAAAAAAATCACCTCTTTGGATATATTGTAGTGCTCCTTAGCGTAATACAGAGCTTTCTCGTGATTCCCGAGCGCGGCGTGTGCGTTACCAAGCGACCAGCAGGCTCTGCCTTCACCTACTCTGTCCTGCAATCTTCTAGCCGCAGACAAATGCCTCGCGTGATATTCCTCGGCGATCCTATACTCTCGTAATAATGTATACGTGTTACCTAGAGAGTAACACGCTTGAGCTTCAACCGCTGCATCGCCCAAATCTTCGGCTAACGCCAACGTACGCCTGAGAATATAGATCTTATATAATGTACGCACATGTATTTATTATAAGCAAATCTTTTAAAAATAATATAGTCTATTGACTTGAAGACTAAAAGATTTAAACCTGGATATAAATAGATTAATATGAAAACTATTCTAAGATCATTATTAAATTTATATACTATAATAATATAGAACGAAAAACTGTAAATGTTACGAATCTCTCTTTTATATGAACAAATTTAAACTAAAGTACGCAGTGCTACTTATCATGATGGAGAGAGATCAAGATATATTCTTATCATTAGTCAAACAAATATTTGGAATATAAAATTTTTGGGTGTCACATGTTTATTTTTAAAAATACGTCAAGATAATATTTTTTTATACAAATTCAGAGATACAAACGTTTCTTAATGTATATAACTATTTTTTAAGAAAATTACGAACATAAAACATTAATAATAATCATAATTTTAAGCAACAATCAAACAGACAAACCAGTAATTTATTCTTAGTAATATATATAGTGATATAAGCCTATGTAAATATAAATGAGATAAGATCATTGCTTTCTATTTTAAAATTCAATTTTATCTCTCATTTTATATACATATACAGTTTATAAAATAAAATAAAAACGCCTAAACTTCTCACAAAAAAATTGAGTATAACATGGATTGTTATTACTTATTGAATCCTTTATTTATCACTAGTTTTTGCCCGCGACTCCGTCCGCGTTAATTTCGTCATTAGTAATATATGCATAGCTGACCGGGCGAACTCTATTCCATCTTAGAGGCCATAAATAATCAGGTTTTTCCTGTTTCAATCGAACAGAATGGTTGACATATTAGTTAGTTGTCAATTCAAATGTCAAAGAAAACGTTTGTATGGTAGATAGAAAAGGGCTGTTTATAGGGTTTTCCTGGAAATTAATCATTTTTTTTTCAACTTTTGAACCTTCCCTGAACCTCCACGAACATTTCAAGACTATGATAAGATAAATCCGTTCAGCCGTTATTATATAATTATACTACTTAGTGTTAGTGATTTTAATTATGCTTCATTTGTAATGCTCTAACTAAAATTATTCTACAAGAACACTTTGGTAGGTAAAAGCCTCTTCCAAATTTTTCCAATCGAAATATACAGTTTATATAACTATTAATACTAAATCATATGTGTGTGTGTGTGTGTGTGTGTGTGTGTGTGTGTGTGTACTATAACAATCTAAACATGTAATTAATTTACCCAAATCGGAAATCATTTCCTTACACATAATCAAGAATGTAATAAAAAACAACATACTCAATATAGTATATTGGTTTAGACAAGTTTAAACAATGCAAAGCTTTAGGAACAATAACTTAGCAATAATAAAAATCAAATTCGCCTTGTAGTTATAAATAGCAAGAAATATTTATATATTGTTTATTTTTAACTAGCTGCGCCCCGCGGTGTTACCCGCGGATTTCCGGGATGTAAAGTAGCCTAAAAAATGTGTTATTCTTGGACGTCAGCTTCATATATACAAAATTTTATCAAAATCGGTTCAGCCGTTTGAGCATGAAGAAGTAACAAACATACACACACACTCACAAACTTTCGCAATTATAATATTAGTAGGATGTCAGTTAAAGAATGTAATGAAGACATATAATTTATATTTAATTGATTACAAAACATTCATTTGTGATTATTGTCTATCGCACAGCTATATATAAAATATCAAAAAAGTTGATGTCTGTGAAGATTTCTGTATGTAGAGATTGTATATGTGGAATAACAATATACTTCCAACTTATATTAAACTAGCTTTCCGCCCGCAGCTTCGCCCGCGTGGAGTTCGGTTATATCGCGTTTCCAAAAGAATCTTTCAAAAGTCTGGGATAAAAACTATCCTATGTTCTTTGTTGACGTGAACTCTATCTCTGTACCAAATTTCATTAAAATCAGTTCAGTGGTTTAGGCGTGAAAGCGTAACAGACAGACAGAGTTACTTTCGCATTTATAATATTCATTAATAATTATCAAAGGATTTCCAGCCTGAGCTATTAATAGCAGTATGATTTTGAAGAAATTATGCTATGAAATGCACAAAATGGTTCAGATTGCTTAACTTTATAGCAATATAAAAAAATTATAGTAGAAAGTATTTGAAATAAGTAGTCAGAGTTCAAACAAGTGCTAGGCATATAGTGTAATTATTTTATTATTATATATAAGTGGCAATGCAGTGAGCGATTGGCTATGTTGGGTCCATATAGAACTCCAATATTAACTGAATAATTCTTAACTAGACCAGATTGGGGTCACCGGCTCCCCCCAAATAATGAGACCCCAAAATATAAGTAGGTCCCAAACAAATTTAAGATAACCTTTGTATTAAATGATAACCGATGTAGATTTGAATAGTAATAAAATATATACTAAACAGCAAACAATTGCAATTTGCATATAAATGTAAAATTTACTAACTTCGCTTACAACATTATGTTATTTATGTATTTTTTACAACTTAAATAATTGTTGATGAATCGCAGTACTTTGTAAAAAGACATTTAACGCTTTTTCAGAGCAGAGTTTTATATAGTCTGAATATACAGTAGGTTAAAATTACATTTAATATAACTTACTTATAATGTTCAGCGGCATTCTCAAATTGACCGAGGAATATATGTGAATTGCCCAGATTGCTGTTAGCTCTTCTTTCAGCAGCACGATCACCAACTTCTTGTGCTATCCGAAGTCTTTCTGTGTGATATTTTATGGCTCGGGTGAAATCACCCAATAGATAGCAAGTATTCCCCAGATTTCCACATGCTCGACCCATAGCTTGACGATCACCCAAACTCCTCATTAATTCCAAATTCTCTCTGAAAATTTTAGATTATAATAATTATTATCATATTGGAATATTTTAAATATATGGTTGTAGTTAAGCAATGTAAGTGATAGCCTTGAGGATATAGTACTAGTAGATGTTAGGAACGCCACCTCAGAGTGAAGTAACTTATAGTGGAGGAAAAATTAACAAAGATAAATAATCATGCAAAGTCACCATATGATAGACCAAATATTCCAGCTGATATAATAAAGTTATCTACCTTGACACTATATTATTTTAACAATACCGAACAAGCATAACTAATACATAGCAGAATTATGAATAAATTTAGTTATTGAGTGTAAATATGTATTTAATCCAAACTCACTCATAATAAGCAACCGCCTGTAGCAGACAGTCCCTAACTTCCTGCGGGAAATGTCCTGGGTCATTCTGGCCGACTCTGCCTAGTTGTTTCCCCTGCGCGTGGTATACGTTCCCCAGGTTATAAAGCGCACGACCTTCACTCAACCTGTCGCCCAATGAACGGGAGATTTCTAAATGCCGTTTGCAGCATTGGATTGCCTCATTGAATTTACCCATTACTTTCAATGTGTTACCCAAGTTGCCTGATGCTTTCGCTTCGCCTAATTTATCGTTCATTGTCCTGGAATATTAATAAACAAATATAAGGATTACTTGTACATTAGCAAATTATTTCCTTAGATCTTATATGAAAGTATTTATGCAAGAAGTATTGCAGTTTTGAGGAAAAATGTTGGAAAAAGCAAAGGGCAACCAGCTCTCTCACTCATCAGACGAAACGCAGCCATTAAAGACTACTTCACGCCGATCTTCTTGTTCGAGCAAAGCCATGTTCGAGCTTTAATAACTTGATCACAACTAGATTCTACCACTCTTATTGTACAACTATATAAGAAATGTATGCAACTCACCTAGCTAACGTCAGATCATGTTTATGATATTGCATAGCTTTATTGTAATCTCCTAAGTAGAAGTATGCATTGCCCAACTGGCTGTATATAGCGCTGAGGGTACGCAGGTCATCTGTACCAGCCTGTATAGCGGCTTGAAAGAATGCGACGCCAGCACGACAGTCCCCTGCCTTACATAGCCTCTCACCTTCCAAAGCCAGTTCAAGGCACATTGATCCACCATCGCAACTCTTAAAGAAATTATTTTAATTAATAAATATATATACTATACTACTATAATAGGTATATCTACAATAAGTTAGGTAGAGAGAGGAGCTTTGACAGTGGAGGTGAGCATTTAATAAACTTTAGATTGGGGTCCCTTAAACCTACACCTGGGTCACAAGTCACAGTCACTGTTGAAGCTCCTCTCACTACAATGATGAACCCGACACACGCACCGTGAATACATTGAATGCTAAGAGTTTTGTCTGTATTATATCCAAACACAGATTTAATAATAATATATGAAATTGATGACCATTAGAAAAAACTCATCAAGATTCATGTAACAGTGATATCGGATGTTAATTTTTAATTATTAGGTATTAAAATGAAATGAAAGCTGGTTTCTATGTTAGATAACGAGCCGGTGTTATTATATTCACACATTCATGCTTGTGCAATACAAATATTTGAGTTTGTGTGTTTCTCTGTAATTAACATATTAGTTGTGCTGTTATATAATTCTGTATAACAGATTGTTGAGCATTTACGATAGTTTCAACTTTGTTGTATTTAATAGCCTATTAACTTTGAAGTAGCTTTTAAATTAAATACTCATTTAATCATTGTTTATCTTCAATAACAAGAAATTGTGCCCTAAACTCAATTCCATTCATAAAAGCATTTTTTGTCTAACCATACCCAAAAGATTTTATAACATAGTGTTATTAATGTATTTTAATATAATTGTCGGTAACTTTACAAATATTAAATAGTTGAAAATTGTTTTTAAGAAATAAAATAATAATGTAAGTATAAAGTCCTGCAGTGCAACTAAAACTCGTAGTGTACAATGTAAATAACTTGTAAATATTTTAATATATTTGTAATTTCCTTCATAACTATGCATTTCCTAGATTTATTTAACTTAAAACTGATTGTTTACAAGGAGACATTGTTACTTGTTGTTCGATATCCTATCCTTAATGATCCTCTAGGAGATAAATTCCATGACTGTTTTTTAATTTCTCGTTATGAAACATTAATGTTAAAGCGTATAATAGTCGAGTTGTAGCTTCCGTATTAGGGTTCCAGCGAGTGAGTCATGATCAACGTCCTGTCCTATATTGGCATTAAATGAGGACAATAAAATTATTCTTAATTTTAAGGACGTCTGAAGCCATTAAAAATATACCCCCGTGCTAATTAACAAAAGTAAGACGTTCCAATTTTGAATTCTTACAATACGCACCTGTGCCTCAGTTGAAAGGTTCTCAGCGCTCGCACTAACGGACATTTTACAGAATAACAGAACTGACAAACTCAATAGGAAAACAAAAAAAAATTAAAACAACTTCGTCAGATAATGTTCATAGTTGTGATTGTTTGATTTATATGAGTTTACATGGGCGTGAACAACACAGTTATCATACAACTTCAACACGTACAGTTACTCAATTCATAGTTATAAAGTTTTTTGTTTTGTGTTTAGACTGTGTTGCCATTTTTATTGTTCTAACTTATCACAAGAACAACAGAATTCTTTATTTTTTTAAACACTTAGTTTTTTAATATTATGGAAAAATACTTATAATTTAACCACAAAACATATTTTACATTTCATTATTGCCATTATTTATAAATGCATATTTTGTACCTTACGTTGATTGTAGATGTCGCTTGGCATATATTTCATTTTAATTATCAAATCATAGATGGCAGTACTAAAGTTATTTCAAACATTATATTGTAGCTGTTCTATTATCATACCGGCAACTGAACGTATATATGTATTTAAGATTTTTTCAACAAGTTAGCAATATTAAATAAATTGCATCTTTTGACATTATTTGGTTTCTTCGTTTAAAAATCATTAAAGGATGGAAACCATTAAAATAATATGTAATTTTATGAATTTAAAGTTTGATTGATTTGATATGTCCTTTGATTGATTACTCAAGAATCGAATTAACGAGTAATGATTGTATCTTTTTGAACTACACTCGGATATAAATAATTTTAAAATAACCCATAATTAGGTACATAATTAAGTTTTCAAACTAGCAACACTAAATAGAAATGGAAATGCAAAAATTCTTTCAGTCACATTTTCCCCCGGGAGGGGATGGTCCCTCGTTAGCTATGCAAATATTACGAGGTGGCTCTGCCGATACCATCCGACACGCCCCCGAATTGAACAGCGCTGGCTCCTCTCACTGATTATTGTAGCTAAACTCACTAAATGAAAACCATAAATATTTATAGTCTAAATACACACTCAACTACGACTAAGTAACCAATCAAATTAACGGGACTCAGAGAAAATAAATTAAAAACAAGTGTCAAATGGTTGTCATTTTCTTTTTGGGTTCTGAAATTATTCTTATTTATTTCTATTGCCTTTGATTCGTTATTTACTTATATGTATATCTACTAATTTTTGACTTAGTCAATTGCTTTTTCCAAATATATATCGTCATAACTAATGAGCAAAATATTGTATCTTTTTTTAATGAAATTTTGCGAGCGTCATTTAATATTGTCAAAGTTGATACTGAAGAGAAGTGCAGGAAGGATTTTTTATATATAAAATGTATGAGACACACATTAAATTATTTGAAATTAAGACTGACCATTCATATTGTATTCCTGATAGACCTATACTTTACATCACATTTGATAGCTCTGGTAATCTGAAATTTACTTTTATCGATACTCAAAATTCCGTTTTAGGTATGATTTTTTTTCAAATTTAGTTAACTATTTCAATTTGCATTCATGTTTCTATGTATTTGTACTTGTTGTTACTTATTTAGATACTTGTGTACGTGAACAGTAATGTTTCCTGTGTTTTATATATAACTATTTTTCTACCAATAATAACCGTTGTAAGGATGTCAAAATTAATCATGAAGGGAATTAGTATATTCATATTTAATAAAATCTTTTATATTGTTTGGGTTCTGTATCGATTAATAATTTTTTATTTTTGTCATAAAAACATCAGTAGGTATATTTGCTAAGTTCTCTTTGTTTTTATTTATTCCAATATCACGTTCATCTTCTATATATATAAAAATGGATTGCTGTTCCTTAGTCTTGCTAAAACTCGAGAACGGCCAAACCGATTTGGCTAATTTTAGTCTTGAAATAAATAAATAAATTCTGGAAGCCCAGGGAAGGTTTAAAAGGTGAGAAAAATTTGAATAATTGCCGGGAAAACCCTAAAAACAGCCCTTTTCTATTTCCCATACAAACGATTTTTTGACATTAGACTTGATAACTCACTAATATGTCAATCATTCTGTTCGATTGAAACAGGAGAAATTTAATTTATACCAATACCGGGTTATTGAAGACGGAATAGAGTTTACCACGTCAGCTAAACCTATATTACTAATGACGAAATTAACGCGGACGAAGTCGCGGGCAAAAACTAGTACATAATATATAGATTACTGGCCATATTAAAATCAACCTGTTATTTAAAGTCTCAATCAAGACTTACACGAATACTAAATTTTTCCAGATCAATAAGGCGATTGTCTTTTACAATCAAACTAGAAATTCACAACCAAATTAGAACTTCTACTCAAGGAAGTACAAATGCAGGAACTTTAAATACTAGTTAGTAAATGGATCTCACTTTTTATCTGGATTATGTAAGACTGGTAGGTATATGCTTGGGGAAAAATATTCTCCAGAGCCTACATTCGAGGTTTTGCGAAGATTTGAAGTTCATCAATATATATATGGTCCTTTTATTTTAATAGTAAGAATATTACATGAAGATATTGAATCAAAAAAGTTTGTCTAGTCAGCACTACGGGGTTTTTAAGGAGAACGGAAGGTAATAGAATCTTTCAGCTTCTGCAACTTAGTGCGCATTTCATATAAGGCATATAATAATTTGTACTGTCACCTCGCATACAAATAAACAAAAACTCTCAAATACGACGGTACATTCGAAAATGTATATTTTTACTTAAGAACAGAATAAATATTAAGTATAAAGAAATAAAATCTGGACTTGCAGATATTTAATCATGTGCATGAATTAGCATCAGTCGTTGTTCTATCAATGTTGATAATGGAAACAGTTCCTAGATAAGAATCTATACACTGAAACAAGTGATGTTAAGAAACTGTTTCCATTACCTACATGAGGTTAAGTCCCTAAATGTGTACAATAAGTATTAGCTCCGATTACCAACATCGAATCTACAGATATCGATACTTCAAGATATTTGATATCCAGAAACGTCCAAACGATTGTGAACTTTATGTCAATGAATTAAGATCTACATAATTTATTAAATGTTCGAGCTAACGTGACTTGCAGATGCACGGTGGTCCATAACAAATACCGACCACTAGTTACATTTTTGGGTGTAGATGAATGAAAACACGGTAAAGCACTCGTCTAGATACAGATCCACGGAAAAATATATCTGTATATACTAATAATAAAATTAATTATAAATAAATGAATGACATATATTTAAGAAAACTTTAATAAATAAATCAAACTATGCTCAGTATAGTTATTTTTTAACACGTTTTAATTATTATAAAATTGTTGATATTATGAAATAAGACATCGTAAGTTTAATGAAGGCTCTATGTACTAGCTACCCTGTGCATTATGACGACATGAAAGGCCGGCATCAGAACTGAGAATGATATATGGAGAGGCTATGACGTGTTGCTTTGATGCCACGTCAATATCTGTTAGTGCTTCGAGTGGACCACAACCAGCGATGAGACGTGGATGTACTAAAACATTTGGATGAGACATTTATGTATAATATACTACAAATAAATGATAATTGGATGACAATAGCCTGAATAACTTTAACGGTTATTTTGAGTGGATTTCTAAATTAATGTAAGCGTGAACTCAGTCTCAGAATAAATCTTAGATTATATTTTAGCGCATCCAATTATTATAGGCTCCTGGATCGTATCAGTTCGAGGCCATAGGTCGGAATTTCGACGTGAGGGGGTTAAAGAAAACCCTGTAAGTTGTAACCTTTCCCAATCTGGTGCTTAGACGGGTACACGCACACATACAAACTTTACACACACGCAACACGTCGGCCACGACTCTCTAACAATGTACGATAATTTGCAATTAGGATAAGAACGTGAACAGAATAAACAAAATTGTGTTTCACGTTTCAATATGACGCGCCGTTTGACGACTTATTGTTGTTGCCGCGATCAATGTCATACGTTTTTCACTTAGACGGCTAATTTCTATTTTATGATGTAAACTATTACGTGAATAGCTTTCTTGTTCGATATATAGAGTCTCTTTATTAAAATTAATCTCTTATACTTTTGACTTCGGAATCAAATAGTTTAAAGTTACGAAAGAATTTGACATCTCAAGGTTAGGAAATGTGTAGTTAATTAAGATTTGAACCATACATTGTACATAGAAGAATATAATGAAATCAAATCAGTTAAATTCACATAGATAACAAGATTATTCGTTTGCATATTCCAATAGAACAAGTGTGTATTGCGTTATAAAAGCTCCAAGGCTGATTACTAAGCAATTATCAATATGTCGTTGTGTCGGGTCACGTGACCAACAATGGCGGCACGCGTCGCTCACAATGCGCCTATTGCCCGATCGCTTCCTTCCTGGCTACGTTTTTAAATGTATTATCTACGCCCCAATTGTTTTTAAGGGGATGATTCTATTAAATCGACTGGCTAGCGTTTTATTTAATATTCCAAATATGAGGGATGTACGTAATACTATTTGCGAAATATCGCTGTGTGTACTAGTTTTTTACAGACTTATATAGTCTGGTTTTTGCAACAAGCTCGCTGCAAGAGGAGTAAAAATAAAGTTATTCAGCAAATCCAGTAAAGATCAAAGGGTTTAGAGACGGAATCAGCATAAGTATAAAAAGGATTTGTACTTTTTATGTGTTACACAGAGGCCCGCATGTCGGTGTTTGTAGTTGCAAATATAGTTACGTTACGAAGGGGATTCCCCCTAACAAATCATTTGCCCATTGAAGGCATCTTGAATACCGCCGTACTTACTGTCAACTTGCGACTATAATAAGAGCTTTTATTTCAAGTCTTCAGTAATGACTGATTTATTCGTTTTTCAATACAAATGTTGCTAATCATATATTTCAAGAGCGCTATAAATTCAATAAATACATACAAATTAACTGATTTTTAATTGAATTAGCGGTATCATCGGACGTAATTTTGTTATTAATTATGATGTTCTTGTTTTTGATGAAATAAATTTTCAATCGATTGAATTTAATATTGTATGAGCATTAATTAGTGAATTCAGTTGGTGTGTGTTGTCAATGGAGGTCGCCACTGTCGCCACAAACCTCACGGCTATGTCACAGTCATAATTATATATTTTGTACGCGTCAATGTACTCTATCTGTACAACCCCCGAGTAGATTATGCGTTTTGCGTTCTTGAAATTTATATTCAATTTTCATATTTAATATTACTTTCTTGTAACTATATACAAAACAGAACCACTTACATTTATGTAAAGTTAAGAATTAAAGACCATTTGATTTACGTACATTATTTGCTGGACGAAATTCTCAGCGAAGTTTTAATACTTTTATTAATTCTATAGCTTATTTAACATACAATTATTATATGTATTGTTAGTTTTATATCTATTGAACGTAATAAAATATCAAAACGTATAGATCCTGGTACATCCCAAACGCCAGTGAGCGGTGATTACACAGGCCTAATTCAATAAATGTGCTCACCCCACGCGGGGTGATGTTTAACTGTATTTATTACTTGATTGCAACGTTTGTGACTACGCACTTGTTTGACGTACAAATTATACAATATTGTGACATGTAAAATCATATCTACTATAACTAAATTATAACTTAGTGTCCATTGAAAATGTTATTCTTTGTTGAATAACGTTACTCGATGTTGTAAGGATTTCAATCGGTTGTAAATCTAAGAGACGGTAGTTTTAAATGATATTTAGCTTCTGCGGTATTGTTATTATTTATGATTATAGCCACAGTGGCGACTCCTGGGACTGTAGCTTGCATACTATAAGTTAGTTTACAGGAAAATCTTGAATATTATCGCGTACATTAATCGATCGTTGAGGTAACTGACAATATTATTACAGTCATCAAGTAAACATTATTTCAGCTTATTTACTATCAATAATATAAATTCAAATTCAAAATTTATTACCGAGTTTTTTGTAATTCAAAGCTTTAAAGTTAATATTTACAATTGCTTATGGAGCCATCATATGACCGTGTATAGATCACATTGAAATTGTTATCAATTTCCTCTAAATCAAATATTGTATATAGTATTTTACATTAAAAAAGTCCTTCAAGTTATCTTATATTTTGTAAGCAGTTTCCGACATCATCAACTCATTAAGTTCAACTTATAGCAATAAAATATAACGACCAGGTCCCACCTCGTACTGTAGTGATCATTCAACTAACAAAACACACAGACTGTAAGTTTCAACGTTTCCTTATTATAATAAAACTAACAGTCGCATCTAGACAAAGTTAAAAACACATTCTGTGTGTAATCTCTTATTTATATATCCTTTAACGCTGACATACAAAAATCGTTTTTCAATTACCTCTAAGAAATCCGAAAGGGGCACCACTTAAAAGGATTTAATAACTCGGGATGCCGTAAATCAAATTTTGATTATGAGAATATAGGAAAGGACCATTGAGTTCATAACTCAGGTAAGGCGTCCAGTGAAAAAAACAAGCTATCACATCTTGCAATATATCTGAACCTACGTCTTAGTGTTACAATAAACCTCTGTAGCTGCTGCCGCTAAAAAGTTACTACAATACAAATGATTACAGTCAGCAGAATACTCGGAATGTCCTCATAAAATATATCTATATAATCATAGTATGATAATATCGACGTTCATACTATTGTGATCAATAGTCAGCATCGAATGTATATCTAAATATATATAATGATTGCTGTATAATAAGTATCATGTTTTGCGGACGGTACCATTAACAAGTGTCATAAATACGGGGCTCCATATATCTGTCAGCGGTGTCGTAATTTACGACAGTTGGTTACTCCGTGTAAACAGCCTCACAAAAGGTTCGGACGCTGCTTCCTGCCCTGGATTAGGATACGCTGGCACCAGGCAGCGTGATCATTAACATTTAGTGTGTTTTAGCTTTACATTGTCTCAACATATTAATATTGTTTTTATTATTTAATTTTAAAAGGCTATAGCAATAATCGTAAACATGCCGTTTTTTGTTTGGATAGAGGATTTTAAACGGTCGAATGACTGACTGGGTTTGTTTTATATTTAGTCGTAGTTGTAAAAGCTTGTATCGATTATATTATATGTATTACTTCGTATTGTGTAATGAATATCCTAAAAATGTAGGTATCATTAACATTCAGGGCTGGCAGCGCTCGTTCATTACGTGTGCTGATGATGTCTCTTTACCGATGCTGCTATTCAAATTTATTCATATTTGGCACACCCCCGGGGCTCTTAGTTACGGCCTTTGTGATTCAGTAGCGATGCCCTGGTATTAACAACGTTTAGTTGTGTATGTATTGGTATCATTATCGCCATTATCGATCATTCTCATCGTGGACAGACGCGAAATACATTTTCACTTGATAGTTTCGATGCAGTGCATGTAAAATATATCTTTTATGACTAGTATTTACCTTATCTTTATTATATATGATATGTAGGTAGATGTATTGATCAGCCAAAGACATTTTGTATCGTCTGTCTGTTCAAACACTGTAAGACGGTCGTGTTAGCGACTTCGTTATCCGTCAGTAACGAACTGTTTGCAACTCACGGACCGGTTAATCTAATAAACTCTGATCCACCCTCGCCTCGCCTCCAATCCACCGGCTGGCGTTTTTCTCCGGGTTTATTCTCGTATCCAAGAGGAGAGCGTGCCTTGAATACATCGCAGCTTAAATGAAATATCTTAATACATTCGATTTTCTAAGATTTTTCAATATCTTTGGTTGATTTTGAGTATTCCATTGGCTACCTGGATACTTTGGAAGGATGAAAGTTGTTTTTTACACAATGATATACATACAGTTTTTGTTTTAATAGTCTTGATATTGGTATCAAGAAAGTACATCAAACCGTTATACTTGTTCTAAATATATATTAGTACATAAGGTAAACATGTAATAGAGACAAATGAAGCACATTAAGCCCTATCATTTATATCTGGCTCTATATTATTACAGCGTATTAAGTTCGATTCAATTCCATCCCTCAAATGCCCCGCGGTTTCCGTCACCCATCTCATAATATGAACTCCTCGTAATTATCGCATTACACTGCCTCTACAACCGACGGACGGTAACTCTTGAACGAACGAGCGGCGTGAGACCGATTTGTTGACACGCGACGCCTTCACACCTCGATGGCTCGCTCGCGAATTCGTTGCAACACATTCATACCATTATATATCTTATTCCTTTGTGATAAAAGCTAAACAGATACGATTATTGAATTTTAGTTAATCAATGTATCACATAAAATGTCACTCAAATATAGTCCCTATTGTGTAACAATAAGGGCTAGTGATGTCGCCTTTATCGTGCTATAAAAAGATTTGTTTAATTCCGAATGCATTGTAAATATTGGGGCTGGAATGTTCATTGATGAATCAATGAACTCCGTGTGATAGTTTTTTTTTGCCACTAACAGATATATCTTCGTTATTTCGATTCAGAGAAAGAGATTGTCATTTATTTATAAAATATCTGAAGAAGCGAAACTTATGGATTATTATAATATATTTAATATACAAAATACTCTTCAAAAATACTTTGAAATTCTATAGAGAACGAAACAAACTATTTTTATATAAAAGCGATATATTTATCCACGCTAATTTCATCCATAGTAGCTGCCAGTTGAAAATTGACATCAATATAATACATGTTGTGGCCGAACAAATATTTGCACACCCCCTGATCCTGGATTCCCCAAACAGCATCCCCCGGGGAGGTCGTATTAAAGACAATAACAGCTACAATTGCTAACTACTAGTTACACTAACAAGTCCCGCGAGTCTTAAATCCTGTTTGGATTGTTACAAGATGTATAAGGTGACGACCCTCCGCACAATCGAAACGGTTTGTTTAGACATACGCATAAATAATGTACAACTAATATACATAATAACGTCTTTATATATTTAAGAGTTAGTTAGTTATAAACTCTACACTAAATTAAGTCTAGTCAAGTGTATGTAGAATCACATTTTTTAGTATACGAAATATTTTCAGTAGGTACCTACAACAGAGTAAGTTCGAGGGAACGGTTTTCCATTCAATCAGACAATTAACATACAATTGAAAGTCTGGTCTCAACGAATCCCCTCCTCGGTTAGGTCGGAAAAGTTGCCAAATAGGGGAAAACCTCGCCGGGGGATGCGGTATGCGGGCGAGGGGTTGTGAGGGAGTGTGGGTTGTGTGGGTTAGGACCCCCTTTTGATGGGTATAATCGCGTCACAGCGGTCGGTTGCGCGCGCGACGCGTAATCCCGTTGCTGTAATAGTCTTAGGCCGACAAAGGGCTGATCAAAAGCGGCATTTAACGCGCCAAATGTCATAACGGACCTAGCTGATCGTGAAGACTTTTGATATTTTACTCAGCACATTTTCACGGACTGTACGAACATGTACTTTTAGCCTAAAAGTATGTTACGATTGTTTTCACTTGTAAAACTATCACTATCAATGGCAGTCCGAGTGAAAACAGATATAATCTATATGTTATCTCATAATATGTATATCTTACGTATATATTTTCTCACAAACTATTTATTAATAAAGGCTTAAATCCATGAAATTTCATAACTAATTTATTTTTTGCTGATATACGCCAACGATTGTTTTCACCACCCTCAGTGCTAAACTTACTTATATGATTCATTAAACTTTCCTCACAAAAATATACGTGAAAATCTCGTATTCAGTATAAAAAATAATTATAAATATTTTATACAGATCCGTAAACTAATCTGAAAACTGTTTGAGAATCAAAATAAGTTATTATATTGACTTTAATTGTTCTACAATTTAATCTATTGCGGTTACTTCAGTAAGCATAATTTTCAAGTTTAGATTTGAAACAATGTCAACATAATTTACATCTAAGTGAGGATTACATAAAGTAATTTATATATAGATGCATATATATTTATTTTCATATACAGTAACTAATTTCTAATACAATACATAGTCAATATTCCAAAAAAAACTAAGATCGATAACAATAAAATTAAAGAGAAAGTCTTTATTAATGACTTATACCTTTACTTACTTATCTCTGAATATAATGTTATATATACATATTCATATGAATATATTGATATATTATGAAGAAACAAGATTTTTATTTAAAATTTTTGTCTGTCTTTATGTTCGATTATTATCTATCAGTCCGCTGTAAATTATGAAAATTTTGAAAAATTATCACGCAGCATTTACACCGTATAACAGATATACAATATTGAACCGAAATGCTAAATATAATAAGACTGAGAAATCTTGAAATAAAACTATTATTTTTCAGATTACTATACATACGTATTTTTTTTAAAACTACATACCTACTCCCGACGCGACGTTTCGGTTACTTTGCAGCAACCGTTAGCACGGGCAGACGAGATATTCTTTGTAGAAATTATTGATTATATGTAGAAATTAATGTCTTATATATTTAGAGATAAAATAATACATACCTTATAATTTACTCTTATCAAATATACATTATATATAGTATCTAAAGCTATTATACATAATGTATATAGGGAATATTAATCACAAATATTTGCGACATAAGCATTGCAAGTTGTCCACAACGTTCCTACACTGATTGGATCCCCGGGCATTTGGAAAACGTAACTCGATTTCCCAAAACATCGATACAAACATGATCTGTAAACCTTACAACAAGTTCTCACATACATTCACACACTGGCATACGTACGTTAATGAGTATAAAACTGAAAACGCCGCGTATTTGGTTTGGTAATGCGAACTTGTGTTACAACTAATAAACAGTTTGCCGAACTTTCTTTCAAATTCTTTGCGTTTTATCGTTTGATTTAATATACAATAGCCTCGGGGTAATCATAAAATAACAGATTTATAACCTATAGATTGGTATCTTCATCAAACTATTTAAATATACCTGTATCTAAGCACATATATATTATAATAGTATATGTAAAATTTAATAAAAATTGGTTGTTTTTAAAGAGAGACGCCAGCCTTGCTGAAGTCACTAATGTCACTTCTTCCAGTACGTTCCATGATATTCAAAATGAAACTTCAATTGTTCTAAATATCCTTGTATTTCTCGAAGGTTCTTCATAATTACAATCTTCAATCGTCCGCATTCACTGAACTCTGCTGTCGTGCGTCCAGACGTCATATTTATACCAAGATTCAAACATACCTAGTTCTATTCTTCTTTTAATCAGTCTTTGATTTCGTTTTATCTTTAAAAATAATCATGAATACTAATGAGTTTTTATAATAGTTGACGACATCTCAAATTATTTTCATGTTGCATCCGTCATTAATGCTGATAGCTCCGATATACACACCAAATCTACTGCCTCCTATGTAACTTCATGCATTTTAAATAATAATCATAACATTATTGAGACATGTATAAAAGTTTGCTAAATCAAAGACAGATATTGCCATGAATATGATCTTAATATGTTTAAACCACGTAAGTTTTATAAACAGTTGCTTTCAAACAAAATAATTAGATATGGTCAAATTCACTTATTCCTTGGAACTTTTGCCATATAATGATTAATTGTACAAGATTATGGTAATAGTGAGGTTTTGTAATAAAATATTTATGTTTATTATTTATATAACTAGGCACCTGTGGTTTCAATGGCACTGATAATATCGTCCAATTAAATAATTTCGTCTATACAATCTGTCCATTCATACGTGGTTAATGTACCCCGTGTGTTGATAAGAGTATCTCTCGTACAAAACAAAGATATATTTTTTATTATGTATTATGGGGTTGTTATATGAAAAGTCTTTTACTTGTTTCATCTTGATAGTCTGTCGACTCGACTTATTATTTGAAATGATTTGGTGATATAGTTAATAAAGAACTACTTGTTTGTTTTAATTGACTTTTTGTTTTTTTTTTTATTATTTCGTTTATATACATAATAATTAATTTTTATGATATTTTTTCACATGAGTTCTTTCATAGAGATTGTATTCGTGTCACTTTCAACAGATGACATAATGAAAAGAAAAGAGACTCGGTTATTTAAAGTATTAGAGAAATCAAATATTTTAAAATAATTGATATACATATAACATTTATACAATATCAAAAGTTAAAATCTATAAAATATTTTTTGACTACCAAAACGAGGACTTTATTTCATTAAATCATTGTCTCTACCAAGTTTTCTTAACTTCCTTGATGTTTTCTGTCCGATATTTTGGTGGTTCGATGGCTCGATCCAAATAACAGAAAAAACTCCACCGAATTATGCAAACCATCCTTCGCCGGTTGAATAACAAAAAAATGTCTACAATTTCTATCCGTAACACACAAAGGGACAATCGTTAACTGGATTATTCGCGCGTAAAAATGGCAGGAGGGCGTAAACTTAATTAGAATTTCAAATTTGCAATTTGCAAAAATCGATCTTTCCGGACAATCCTACTGCTTCCGTGGATTTGAGTGGAATTAAAAATTGTTACGGAAATCGACGAGCACGTAGGTTCAGCCCGATGGGTAGTTAATTGGGGCTTTCAGTAATCAGTACAAAGAAACCTTAATAGAAATGGCAGCGTCTATCTTTGTTTCCAAACAGTATCGATTTCAATTTCATAAGATAATCCTTATTATAATAACCTACTATTTTTACATTTTGTGTTGTTACAAGGGGATCAAATTGTTTTTTTAACTCGAAATTATTTTCTATAATTAAAGCGTGACTGCATGAAAAACTGCGCGCATCTTAATATAAAAAAGACATATTTATAAACTATTAATTAGTACCTTTTTCAATATATATATATGTTTATAACAATAGTAGGTATATATATACAAATACCTAAATAATATATGTCATTTATATGTTGTATGATATATATTAATATAACTGAGATACAAATAGTTATTTATGATGAAATGAATTTTAAATTATGTTACACTATACAATAGATTAATTAATTAATTCAATTATTATGATTATTCTATTACTTCTATGATTCCACGTGGCATAAATAGGATAATATTACTCGTCTTTTCAATGTTTCATCTCAATTGATGCAACAGAATACTAATGAATAAAATACTTTTACGTAATAAATATTATGTACCTACTAACGATTATTTCTTAGTAATAAGACATGTACTGTACTAATAATAATAATAATTGAAGTAGATCAGCCTACGTTCATAACATTACATATTCAAGTTTTTGATCAAAATGTACATTACAAAATCTTCTGTATTCCATATATCACTACTAATATTATAAATGCGAAAGTAACTCTGTCTGTCTGTCTGTCTGTTACGCTTTCACGCCTAAACCACTGAAATAATTTTAATGGCATTTGGTACAGACATAAAGTTGACCTTGAGAAAGAACATACGATAGTTACTAGTTAGTACTTTTGAAAGGTTCTCTTGGAAACGCGATATAACCGAACTCCACGCAGGCGAAGCTGCGGGCGGAAAGCTAGTATCAAATAAAGTTGATTTGAGCTGAAAACAATTTATAAAAATATATTTTTATGTTCCCTACTATATATAAAATATGTTTTTCATACAGTTATTCTGTATACAGGTAATTTAAATGAATTTATTTATATAAAACATTATAGGTATGCATTAATTACATTATATTCACATAGTATAAATTTAAAAGTCTTCTATAGTTATAATCCATGAAGTAAATTAAGTAGGTATATATATATATATATATATATATATATATCGTTTTGTCACAACACCAGGAACGTATCTCAACAGTCAACTTTCTTAACATTCTAATTGGAGTTGATAAATATTGTGATTTGAGAATTTCTCTCAATATAATAATTAATAAACATTATAATACGCTTTCTGTATAAAAGAATGGGTTTTCGTTGGATATATTTTTGTTTGTAACAATCATATTTTTTAACTTAAAACTTTTGGTTAAATTATTGACTTATCGAACAAAAACTATATGACGTGAGTATTTAGTAAATAAAATCTTATGTGATATAAAAAGTATTATGTACTATATAATATTTTCATTATATATAAAAAACTACTATTGCTTTCTTGTAAGAAATAATTTGTACTATTTATTTCGCTAAACAAGGATTTCTTATACAATACTTTTTATTCTAATAAGAGCAGATTTCAATACACTTTAAAGACCAATTAACTTCCATAAAATATGTCTAATTTCCTCTAATGAAATATCAGCAATACTAATATTTTATTTTGAAGAATATTTTTCATTGATAATTAACAAAAACTACTAGATCAAATACTTTCGACTAAATACATATCAAATAATAAAAACTAAAGTTGAATAAATAGTCAGTATCATAA